AATCAGGTGCTGCCGTCAATGATTTGACACTGGCACCATCTGGCCCCTCTCCTTCCTTGCTGTAGATTAAGAACTAGAAAGCTTTTATGAAACCAAAATTAAAAAGTGATGTGGCATCTGGATTTCCCACTGTTTGCTGGTAATTAAGTTTGTCACACACTTGACAGAGCTGGGAACAATGCAGAGAAGCAGAAAGGAAAGACAGGGAGGGAAAATATAAGAGTCTCCCCACAGCTCTCTCTCTGTGATTCCATTACAAAAATACAATTAAAAGAAAGCAATATTTCCATGGTGTATTGTCGCCATAAATTCCACTACAGATAGAAATTAAGTCTAAGAAATTGTCAGTTTTAGGGAAGGGGTTCCCCTTTAAGCTCAGGTACTGTCTTACCAATATTTACTGGGCTATATGCCAGTTTCTGATTTATATCAATTCAAAACTAGTCTCTCTCTGATTTTTGCTTCTCTTAATTTATACAAAAACATTCCAGCTCAGCAGTAACGTTGTCCAGGTGTCAAGATAAAGAGAATTTCAACATGAGGAGTTGCCGATCAATGTTCATCTGTCAGGAAGTTTGCAGAGAGAGCTCCAGGGAAAGGTTTTTCCCTAGATATTATTTTAGTCTTTTAAAGGTTGCTCACCACAGACCAAATTTCATTACTGACATGGCACGGGGTCCAGTAGGATGGAGTGGTCTTCCTAAGGCCCCCTTTACCATGCCAAGTTGACCCAATGGGCACCCTCGACTCTCGCCTGACACATCTTTGATGATAAAAATATATATTTGGAAGGATGTCTTTTACTCCCTCTTGGTCACGTTTTGCTGTACATTCAGACCCCATGGATTCCCTGACCCCTGGTAGGTCCCGCTCCAAGATAGATGGTACAACAGGTGTTTATGGGCACCCTAGCCGTATGGGCTATGCGTGGCTTCAACCATCCCTTTACCACGCCCCAAGCCTTGCAGATGGAACTGACATTGTTCGGTATGGGCCTTGTTATAATCTGCCCCCCTTGTCCTCCCTGGGCCCTCTGTGGCTCTGTCTCACTCTGCGCCCTCTCTGGCGCTCGGGCACTCGCTGCCCCCTCTCTGGGGCTTCTATCACCACCCCTTCTCTGGAGCGTCTATCACTGCCCCCTCTCTGGGGCTGGGGTCAGTGCACCCCAAATGTTGCGCCCTTGCTGGTGCTGGGGTCCCCACCCTGCTGTGGGTTCCCTATGAGGCCTCCTCCTTCCCCTAATAGCCTCACCCAAACCACCAGTCTTTAAACAGCAACAAAACACAAGCCCCTGAGCAGTAACAAATTCAACCTGCCCAGCTAAAACATCATTCAAGCCTAACAGGGAATATTCCATCCCTCTGCAGTGCCAGAAACTGCTTCTGCATTCAGGCCTCTCCTCTATTCTCTGGGAGAACTCCTTCCCCCTTGGCTGCTGGCAGGGAACTGCCCACCTGCCTTCAGCCATGGGGTTTATATATGCCAGGCCCTACCCTCCTTCAGTCAGCTGACCGCTGGCAGGTGTGGGTCACTAACTACTCTAGTTACCCTGGTGACCAACAGCTGGGCTCCTGACTCACTGCTAGGCTCACTGCTAGGGCTCTTGCCCTAGCAGTTTCCCCTCTTTAGAAGCAGGGCACCTTAGTGCTCTGCGACACACCTCCCCACTTAAGACCAGACTCACCGAGGCGGGTCTTCATTCTTTTCCCCTTCATGTCCTTCATCTTGGCCCTCTTGAGTTCTTGTGCTGGCCCGCTGACAATTCTGACACTTGGAGGTGGAGGTTTTCAGGTGCCTCCTGCATGCCTTTTCCCCAAGGCACACCACGTGGGATTTCATGGGAGTTGCCCCGCCACGGGCAGTCCCCCCACATTAGTCAACCTTGGTAGGGTGGACTTCGGTCGGTCGAGCTTCTTGCTTTACAGGTTCAATCCCCT